ATGTAACCACTGAAACTTGGTAGCCTTACTATCTGGCCAGTATGGCAAGAAATCTGTCTGCTTACCTGTGACTTGGTCCCAAACACCGATCCCGTTCTTTTTGTTGGTGCACTCACTACAACTGGAAAATAACTTGTAATCCGAGCTAACACCGAGTGCATCTGCTGTGTAATCCTTCATTTGATCTTCATCTTTAACTTCAAAATTATACTGCAATTCCCCTGTAGATGCACTGAACAACCCAATGCCTCCACTAGCTAGGTACTTGTCAGAACTACTAACCGCAATGTTATCAGAATCAACCCAACAAACATCGTTGACCCTACGATAATCACGAGTGGTTATTGTAGGTTGCTCTTCTAGCATCCAATTGTACACGTTGACCATATTATCACGTACCACACAGCACCAGCTATTCGGACTAGCCCGAATTTTATCAGCCTTCCCTACTGTTGGGCCGGTTATAGACTTGGCCAACCGGAGCCTATTGCCATCAAACGGTCCCCATTTAGCTAACCTTAAATGATCTTCAATACCATAATACAGAGCCTCTCTGTATAGGTGCTTTTTATCGATCTTTGGAGGAATATAAAGCTCCCCTGTTCTGAGTAAGTCCAAAAGGACACCAAAGTAATCGGGATTTCTATCAATGAAATGTTCAGTGATCAACCCATCAGAATGCAGGTTCCAATTCTCATCAAACATGGGTCCAAAGAATGAATTCCTTCCAGCACTCGCTAAGGTTGTGGCCGTAGTTTCAAACTTTTTTCCACCAACATTGAGTTTCACTCTGTCTTTCTGGCTTTCCATTCTTCAGAAGTGTCGTCGTACCCTGAAATTCAAACTATTACTAATGTAAGAGATGCAACAACTTACACAGTCTAATCACACAAGAGGGGTCTGGAGAGTGTTAAGATATATGGAGACCTTACCTTTACCTTTGTGGGGTACATAGGTTGTTTCTGATAAACCCAGACTCAAATAAGATAACCGAAGTAAGATAATCAAGAAAATAACGGCAGCAAAATAGCAAGATAAACAAAGCAAATGAAATGACAGGTAGTAATAAAATAAAAGGATAAGACACTATTTGAAAGAAGGGCAAGTCTATGTCTAAATAAGGAGAAAATGAGAAGAAGAGACCAACACCTTGCCTCTTTCATGTAAAAGTACTCCAACATCAAGCTACCTACTACCCTTCTACGTTAATGCTTGACTCTTACTGGTAAAAGTACTCCAACACCAAACTACTTATTGCCCTTCTATCTTAGTCCTTTTGACTATTTCTCGTAAAATTACTCCAACACCAGACTACCTACTGTCCTTCTACCATAATCCTTTTGACTATTTCTCATAAAAGTACTCAAACACCGGACTACCTACTGCCCTTCTACCTTAATCCTTTTGACTCTTCCTTGTAAAAATACTCCCAACACAAAACTACCTATTTCCCTTCCACTCTAATCCTTGAGTCTCTCTCATAAAAGTACTCAAACACCATACTACCCTTTGCCCTTCTACCTTAGTCCTTGACTAATTATTGTAAAAGTACTCCAACACTGGACTACCTGCTGTCTTTCTACCTTAATCCTTAACTTTTTCTCATAAAAGTACACCAACACCAGACTACCTACTGCCCTTCTACCTTAATCATTTTGACGTTTTCTCGTAAAAGTACTCCAACACCAGACTACCTATTGCCCTTCTACCTTAATCTTTTTTTACTCTTTCTCGTAAAGTACTCCAACATCAAACTACATGTGTTTTTAAAAATGATTTATTTTAACTATTTCACTTCGGGTTAGTAAAATTAAGAAATAATTTATCATAACTATTCCAATTAGGATTCATAAAAAGAAAAATAATTGGGATAGAATTTCTACTAATTCTAACAAGTAGGATAGGATTCTTGCATCCGTCGTACCTATTTCTTGCTTCCTCTTGCTTCGATATGTTGCTCCGCCTATGACTGAATTTTCATAGAATAATATCGCGACACTGTAGACCTAACTTTTTAAAAACAAAAATGGTGATGGCATTCTTGTAATTTAAGGCTTTTAGGTCTAATACTATTCCTAGTTGGCTTATAAGTATTGAGCTACTAATAATTATTTATTGTTTATAAGGTAAGTATACTTAAATTTCTATTGTGATTATTACTATTAATAACCCAATAAAATGATAATTAATTTACTATAACATGTTAAACTACATTGATACTATAAAGAATATTCTAACCATGGGTATAGATCCATCATACATGTCCTTTATCGCCCTAAATAAGCCACAAGTACACCTTAAGACTCTAAACATCGCCAAAGGACTTCTCTTGGAACTTTGTCGTAGGCCTTTTCAAGGTCAATGACTTTAATAGTTGAACGGCATGGCATTAATCCAAAATGGTTCTCGGAAATGGACACATCCCTCCTCACCCTTATCTCAACCGTCCTCTCCCAAACTTTCACTGTAAAATATACCCATGGTTAAAATATTCTTTATAGTATCAATGTAGTTTAACATATGATAGTAAATTAATTATCATTTTATCGGGTTATTAATAGTAATAATCATCAATAGAAATTTAATTATAGTTTCCTTATAAACAATAAATAATTATTAGTAGCTCCAATACTTATAAGCCAACTAGGAATAGTATTGGACCTAAAAACCTTAAATTACAAGAATGTCATCACCATTTTAGTTTTTGAAAAGTTAGGTCTACATTGTCACGATATTATTCTACGAAAATTCAATCACCGGCGGAGCAACATATCGAAGAAAGAGGAAGCAAGAAATAGGTACGACGGAACCAAGAAATTTATCCGACTTGTTAGAATTAAAAGAAATTCTCTCCCACTTATTTTTCTTTTATGAATCCTAATTGGAATAGTTAAAATAAATTATTTCATAATTTACAAACCCCAAGTGAAATAGTTAAAATAAATCATTTTTAAAAACACAAGTAAATTGGTGTTGGAGTACTTTTACGAGAAAGAGAAAATCGATTAAGGTAGAAGGGCAGTAAGTAGTCTAGTGTTGGAGTACTTTTATGAGAGAGTAAAAAGGATTAAGGTAGAACAACAGAAGGTAGTCTGGTGTTTGAGTACTTTTACGAGAAAGAGTCAAGGCTTAAGGTAGAAGGGCAGTAAGTAGTACAGTGTTGGAGTATTTTTACAATAAAGAGCCAAGGACTAATGTAGAAGCGCAATGAGTAGTGTGGTGTTGGAATACTTTTATGAGAAAGAGTCAAGGATTAAGGTAGAAGATTAGTAGGTAGTTTGGTGTTGGAGTACTTTTGCAATAAAAAGCCGAGGATTAAGGTAGAAGGGGAAGGGATAATATGTTGTTGGAGTACTTTCACGAGAAAGAGTCAAGGATATATTAAGGTAGAAGATTAGTAGGTAATCAAGACTCGGGTAAGAACAATGGGAAGAGACTCAGAGCACTTTCTAGTTGAGATGGAGTTGCACCAGTGATCTGCGTAGAGCTTGTTTCTATTTTCCTTGGTGATGGATAAATTGATACGGTATTTTTTTCCGACGAAGGGTGTATTAGCGTACTCATGTAGTCTTTGGCTTCTGGTATTTGATTTTATCTGTGGTTTACTGTGTTTAAGTGACCGCATCTTCTTGTTGTTGGTATGGTTTCTTACATATCTACTCCGCACTGCTTTGATATTAGTCGTGTTTTTGCTTTGATTTGCTTGAGACGAGGGGTTTCCGAAAACAGTCTCTCTATCTCGAAGAGTTAGTGGTAAAGCCTATATACACTCTACCCTCTCCATATCCCACTTTGTGGGATTTCACTAGATATGTTATTGTTGTTGTATATTCTAGTAAAACTAGTTCTCCTCCTTATCCTTACAAACACAAAGATAACCCTCGAAATTGAATATTATCTCAGCTCAAAATTTGTTTACTTAAATATTTCTTATCAAAGTGAGGGATTTGTTTCAAGCGAAATCAAATTAGAAGATATTTCCGCTCTACCATCAATCATTGTTGTTTCCACACACATATCTCGTGGTTTGAGAAAGACTCTACTAAGTGGTAGCATGACGTATAGAGTCTGATAGTTGTTCGGTATTGGAATGTCGAACTTGGAAGAAGAAATGTTATAAGCTTTCAATGCAAGCCTCGGAATTAAAGGGCGAGAGTAACTCTAACTAACCTTTTTATTTAATATTTCATTGTCATTCCATCTTACGTCGCACTATTTTCTTAAGTATGTTGCAAAAATAGCATCATTTCTTAAAACAATTTAAATTTACATTAAATTTCTTGCTTTATCCTCAGTGACATACTTTTATAACTACAAATTTCTCAGGGCATGTTTAAACTAGTAGTCCCAGACTCCTTGTCTTTTCTTTTTTAGACCCTTATTATCTAGTCAAACTCAGCCACATAAGTTTTTTTAAAAATAAATTATGGAGTCCTTATTTAATTTGTGAGGCATAAAAAAATAGATGAAATGCACTAAACTCTCGCTATGCACAAAGTTTGGAGAAGAGTCAGATCACAAGAATCTATTATACGTAATCTTATACTGCATTTCAATAGGAGCGAGGTTGTTTCCATGACGATTTATAATTGTGAAGTATATCATATCTTAAGTCAAGAACAAATCACATGAGTAAAGCCTTATATAGTTAAAGAGTTTTAGTCAATAACTGTCAAATATCACACACCAAAATTTAAAGAATTAATTCTACTCAATCTTGAAAATCATGGATATACACTTATCTATAACCTTGAAAAAAAATTATCACTATCTCAAACTTAATCAACTAATCAAACACTATAAAAACCTCACTAAACAATCACTCTCATATCATCAACAAAAAGAAAATAACATAAAGGGGTGAGTTGTTTAACTAATACAAATACTCAGTAATTCGCAATCAGTCATAGTTTATAGCATAATCAAATCAAGTTAAATAGAAAATCGGAGTACTAATGAAGAAGAGATAACCTAAATAGTCGTTCACCCGATTGCATAAACTATGGACGAGGGGTCTCCCATACATCAAAAATATCTTCGCTCCCATGAAGAGCAAAAAGACGATCACCACCGATTGAAAAATCCCAAATTGGACCACCATGACTCTGTTGAAGCTGTGATGTTCGAACCCAATCAGAACCACAGTAAACTGAAATTGTATCGTCAAATGATGAGAACAATTGTCCCTTGTGAAATGCCAGTTTCGGATAAGAAAACTTGTATCCCGTCCAACCAGATAATTTTTCCGTGAAGCCCCTAGTATGAGTACTTCTCCATTCTATACTATTAGTACTCCTCAAATCCATGAAACCCAAAGTCTCATTTGAATCTACTACACAAATGGAATTACTCTCCTCTATCGCTATCGCGTCTCTATATACTCTTTCATCCATAGCATCAGACCACGACAAAAACACCCTGTTTTCCCTAAAATCAAACAAGTTGATGGAACATTTTGACATCGAATGACAAGTAGCTACCATCAAACAATTGGTACCATGTAACCATTGAAACTTGGTAGCCTTACTATCTGGCCAGTATGGCAAGAAATCTGTCTGCTTACCTGTGACTTGGTCCCAAACACTGATCCCATTCCTTTTGTTGGTGCTCTCAGAACAACTAGAAAACAATTTGTAATCCGAGCTAACACCGAGTGCACCTGCTGTGTAATCCTTCAATTGATCTCCATCTTTAACTTGAAAATTATACTTCAATTCCCCTGTAGATGCACTGAACAACCCAATGCCTCCACTAGCTAGGTACTTGTCAGGACTACTAACAGCAATGTTATCTGAATTAACCCAACAAACATCGTTGACCCTACGATAATCACAATTGGTTATTGTAGGTTGCTCTTCTAGCATCCAATCGTATGTTTTAACCATATTACCACGTACCACACAGCACCAGCTATTCTGGCTAGCCCGAATCATAGCAGCCTCCCCTGATGTTATGCCCGTTAGTGACTCAGCCAACCGGAGCCTATTGCCATCAAACGGGCCCCATTTAACTGACCTGACATGATCTTGAATGCCGTAATACAGAGCCTCTTTGTATAGTAGCTTTTTATCGATCGTTGAAGGAATATAAAGCTCCCCGGTTCTGAGTAGGTTTAGAAGTACGGTGAAGTAATCAGGGTCTCTATCAATGAACCGTTCAGTGAACTCCCCATCAGAACGCGGGTTCCAATCCTCATCAAACATGCTTCCGAAGAATGAATTCCTGCCAGCACACGCTAAGGTTGTGGCCGTAGTTTCAAACTTTTTTCCACCAACATTGAGTTTCACCCTGTCTTTCTGGCTTTTCATTGTTCAAAAATGTTGTTGTACCCTGAAATTCTAAACCAATACTAATGTAAGAGATCCAACAACAACAATATACCCAATCTAATCGCACAAGTGGGGTCTAGGAAGAGTAAGATATACACAGACCTTACCTTTACATTTATGAGGTAGAGAGGTTTTTTTCGATCGTCGACTCAAAGAAGAGTAACCAAAGCAGGATAGATAAGAAAATAACGGCAACAAAATAACAAGATATATAAGCAATGAAGATGAAGTATCATGTAGTAGTAAATTTGAAGCATATGATACTATGAGAAGAGGAGACCAACTCCTTGCCTCTTTCTCGAAAATGTTTCCAACACCAAGCTACCTACTACCCTTCTGCCCTAATCCTTTGACTCTTTCACGCAAAAGTACTCCAACACTAGCCTACCTATTGCCTTTCTCCTCTAATCCTCGACTCTTTCTCGTAAAAATATTCCAACACTAAGCTATCTACTGCCCTTCTCCCCAAATCCTCGACTCTTTCTCGTAAAAATACTCCAACACCAGGCTACCTACTCCCCTTCAATTCCATTACTTGACTCTTTCTTGTAAAAATACTCCAACACTAGGCTACCTACTCCCCTTCTATCCCATTCAACTATTCATCGTAAAAGTATTGCAATACCAGGCTACCTACTGCCCTTCTCCCCTAATCCTCGACTCTTTCTCGTAAAAGTACTTCAATATCAGACTAACTATTACCCTTTTACCCTAACCCTTGACTCTTTCTCGTAAAAGTATTCCAACACCAGGCTACCTACTACCCTTCTCCCCTAATTCTGGAATCTTACTTGTAAAAGTACTCCAACACCAGGCCACCTACTACTCTTCTACCCTAATCTCGACCTCCAAAATTTCCTATCTAGGGTCATGTCCTCTTTAAACCCTAATTTTAGAATCTTTCTCGTAAAAGTACCCCAACACCAGGCTACCTACTACCTTCTACCCTAATCCTCGACCTCCAAAATTTCCTATATAGGGCTATGTCCTCTTTAAACTGAACATGTATAATGTCTTGTCTAGTCACATCCCCAATTCTTTTCAGGTCAATTTACCTCTATCTCTCCTAAAACCTGCTAAATATATACGATCCAAGTTTTGTACAACTTTTTTCTAAAACAAAAAATTATTCAACAAAAAAGTTCAAGAAATATAGATAGTATTTTTTTACCAGAACTTGGAAGAACTCAAACAAGGAGTAGCAATAATCTGGAGATGAATTCACTTGTGATTATTGAAAAAAATTGGAACCATGAGGTGTTATTATATTTGTGATTAAAAATAATTAATTTTAACTATTTCAATTAGGGTTAGTTCAAAAAGAGTAGAGCTGTCAAAATGGGCTGGCCCACCCCATTCGGGCTAACCCATACAGGCTTTAAAATTTGACGGGTCAGGGCTAGCCCATTTTTTGTGTGGGCCAGAAAATTGTCTGCCCAACCCACAAGTACGTGGGCTACGGGCTTTTCTGGGCCATCCCTCTTTTTAAAAAAAAATATTTTTTATAATTTTTTAAATTAAATTATTGTTGACACCCAATGTTGGACCTCCACAATATATATTAATTATCGAGCTTCTTCAATTTCAAACGATTTTAAAATAATTAATTTTATAAAAGTAATAATAATATAGTTTGCAAGTTCTGTCTTATTTTATAATTTTTAGGTAATGTATGTGTTTTACATAATCATGTATATAATTATTATATTTTATGAATATTCAAAATTCGTCTCAAAAAGAGTTTGTTTTATATTCAATTAAACTAAATTGGTTTAAAGTATAAGTTATTTATTTTATTAGTTTAATTATGCTTATTTTATACTATTTTGTTTTATTTAATTTTGTTGATTTGAAAAGCACATTTTATTTAAGTTACGTTATTTAAGTTATGGCCATAGTTTTAAGATAATTAGTTTTAATAAATAATAATAATAATATAGTTTGCAAGATTTTTATATAGTTTGTCACTTTTCATAAAGCTTAGATGATGTATATGTTTTACATAATCATGTATATAATTAGTATATTTTATGAATATTCAAAATTCGTCTCAAAAAGAGTTTGTTTTATATTCAATTAAACTAAATTGGTTTAAAGTATAAGTTATTTATTTTATTAGTTTAATTATGCTTATTTTATACTATTTTGTTTTATTTAATTTTGTTGATTTGAAAAGCACATTTTATTTAAGTTACGTTATTCATCACATTTTAATAATAAATATGTATATTTTGCAATCACGCTATTTTATAAATATTTGAAAATCATTACAAAAGATTTTACATTTTAGTTAAATATTTTATTAATTTGCTTTAAGTTATAGCTATAATTTCGAGTTAATTAGTTTTGTAATTGAATTAATTAGTTTATAATTAAGTTAATTATTTTTATTTTCGTTATTATTGAGAAACTCATTAATTAATTTATATTAATTCATCTTATTTAAATTTTAATCAAATTCACCAATTAAATTCAATTTACCTTAAACCCATTTGACCAAAGTTTTGGGCCTTTTTCAGCCGGCCCATTTCCAATTCAATACCTTCCTTCAGCAGCCCACTCTTAACCAACCAAAATTCAAGCCCACTAATTTAATATCAAACAAACCCATTCCACACAATACACACATCATATCCAAACAACAATTCCAAGTGACCCAACAGTAATATACGTACAACGGTCCTAAATACAACAAACAGTAGCCGACGCAGACCCGACCCTTGTACGTCGTTCTCCTTCTTCCTCATCGTGACCCGTACAAAACGAAACCCAGCATCGACCCGAATTCAGCAACTCATGTGAACCAGACAGCAGTACTACGCGACTTTTTCTCCTTCACACGTCAAAAAGACGGAAAGCTGCCATCGTCTTCATCGATGGAACAGACCTGCAGTTGCGTCCTGGAACAACCGCCTGTCAAGCCATCCACGCCCTCTTATCGTGCGGATTTTGGGGGATTTCGGTTGAAAATTTTCAAATTGGAGGTTGAACTCGAATTCCTATTCTACCCTTTTCCCCAATTTCGAATCCCAGTTCCTTTTCTATAAATACCTTCTTCTTGATTAAGGGGAGGATATTAAGAGTTAGCTAAGTGTTGAGAGGAAGAATTATATCTAAACAAAAAATCTTTGAAGTTGTTTGGATCAGTCTTGGCTCTTGCTCGTTTTGTCTTGTTCGTTCGAGTTTCTTCGAATCGCGTTTCGGTGGAAGAACCGCTGCCCATCTTAGCTCGTAGTCTTGGTTCACTGCTCTGAAACAGGTAAGCCCTTCCTCTTTCAGTTTTCTCTTTACAAAATTTCAAGCTTCATCTGCATATGTTTGAAGATTTTCTCTGCAATTTATTGTCTTAAGATTGGTTCTATTAGTCCTTTCTTTTCTTTCTTTTTCTTAGATTCAAAATCTTAAATTTTAAAATAAGGATGCAGTTGTTGGATGTTTTATTTTTCCAACAGTAGATTATTAGTTGATTTCCACATAATTTCTCACATCTTAGAGGTATTTTGATTGAGGTTTTGTTAATATATCTTTTTTTTCTAAAATATATGATCTAAATATGTCCCGTTATGATATCGTCTCTGTCTTGAGTGGTTATCTTGAATGAATTTTATTAGTCCTCTATCAGTTATGGATACTAAATGTTTGTTGTTATTATGAAATATATTGAACAATAGTATTATATTTGTTGGTTCTAGCACCTCAATGACGACGCCCCTGGTTGTTGATTTGTTTAGAGAGATGTAACTTACTCATGTTGCAGTGACAAGTTAAGCTTCGCTAAATTCTTTTTTTTTACATCTACACAGTGCTAAGGTTGCTTAATTGTCATCTTCTCGATAGTTTGGTTTCAATTGTCATGTTCTCTACACTTTGGTTGGTCGATTTGAGTTCCACAATCTAATCCTTCAAAACTTTTTAGCCTAGCTGGGTTTTGCTCTTCATTATTCATGTTTGGGTTGCTCGACTCGAAGTCATTCGGTTCATTTCACTTGTCATTGTTGGTATCATTTGAAATAGGTGTAGGAGTCTAAAAAATTAACCAATATGTTAGCTGTATATGGAATTATCTCATTATTTTCTGAGTGCAACCACTCGATTTGATCTTATTGTTGTATTTGAATTACCTTTTATTCTAAAAATCCCACAAACCAGTTGTCATGTTGATATGTTACTTAGTCCCTGCCATAGCTTTTTTTTTAGATCCATAGCTACGTGTTGCTCTACGCCATGATTTTTGCTTCTTGTTTAAGTTTTCCTAGATTCGTAGCATGTCTCAATATCTATAGTTTTGTCAAAGAATGTCTCTATCTTCATTTAACTTTTCGAAATTTCGAAATGATAGTTACGATAAAAGTTTGAAAGTGCTTAACTGTGCCTTGCTGCTAGAATAGATATGTAGGTGCTGAAAAATTGTGAATCATGTTTTGTTAAATGATAAATATTTCACTTTCATGAGAGCATGTCTTGCACTATTTTTTTTTATTTTTTTTTTCAAATTTCTCAAAGCTTAGTAGCTTTACTATTAGTTAGCATTTTTATTTGGAATAGAAGTTCATGATCTTTATACTTGAGTCACCTCAAGCTTAGATAATTTCTTGAAACCTATGTCTTGCATTTTAATTTTTTTTGAAATTCTCAAGTGTTGGTACATTTCTTCATACTTAAAATTTGCAAGAGTTGTTTAAACTAGTTATAATGAATTCGTATGTAATTATGAAATGATTAACATCCCTCTGTTCCAACTCTTAATATGGATAATCATGATTTGTTTTGTTAGTTTATCAAGTTAAGGCTATTAAGAGAATATATAGGTATCATGTTTAAGGCATTAATTTCATTCTAGATAATTACGTATTCTATTTAATGTTGTATGGCAATCTATGGGAGACTTAAGCAAATCATTTAGTGATTATTTTCATTCAAAATCGTGATTGTATCTTTGAATAGTCTCTTGCTAATCCTTATCATTTTGTTTTATGCATGACTCCCCTCATGAGCCCATCGAGACTCCTTCTTTGCATTTCGTTTGGTTGAAACCCAACAACTCTCTCGAGTACACCTCATCTATCGGAGGAGGAGTCAAAGGAAGCAAATATATAAATTGAAAGCCTGCAAAATGCAGCAACAATGGCAAAAAATGGGTTGCAAACCCACTTCATATTTTGTTGGCAGAATTGAGCCAAAAAGCTCAAGTTTAATTACTTGACTATTATGTTATTATGTCTTATCTATTCGGATGTTTTAGTACTAACATTTTATCAACTTAATTAGATTCCCCAAAGATGAACTATTTTCTTTGTGTTGTTTCGATTTAAAGGTTCAAGTATTTTTTTTTTTCTCAAGTAAGCTTTAAAAAAAAAAGTTTTTTTTTTTACTTAGTCATCTTCTCAAAAAGGTTAGTCAATTAATAAAAAATTATTTTCATGCTTTAATTATTAAATTGGTTTAAATTATTATTTCAAAAATAAATTAAATAAATTCTAATTAGTCTAGTTTATTTAATATTCTAATCACTTGCAATTTAATTCAAATGTTTCATTTTTTGGATCCCTTCCTCTAAAAAAATAAAAAAATAAAATGTGTCATTTATTTAACTTTTTTAACCAAATATTGTAAGTTATTCTTTCTTATGTTAAATCACCTTTTCTAAAAAATAGTCAAAAATATATTTTAGTCAAGTCGCAGGTCAACCGCATGTTAGCGGACACTTCGAATGCTTAAACCCTTCTCGAAGTGTAAATTGAACCCCGAACCCTCTTTGGTATTTTCAAATGATTTTTCTGTTTAAATCTTTGAAAATTGTAAGTTTTCTTAATTTCTTTAAAAAATTAAGTGGCGACTCTCTTTCTAAGTATTTTTCTTTAGTGTTTTATACTTAGAACATTTCAAAAAAGTGATTTTTCTGAATACAGTCAAATTACGACACAACAATTATAATTTAAAAATAATATCATAAATATCAATAAGACAATATTATATGTTGTTAGTGTTACTACTTGTTAATCAAATCCACAAATAAAATTATCTTTATAATATTTATTGGGTTTGATTTCAAGTAAAAGCATAAATAGCTAAATAGAAATATTAACCTAATTGTTTTTCAATGATCATAATAAAATACAAAAACTATGACAATATTAAATAGACAGCGGCCTATGTAGTGATTCCCTAGAAATTTTAGGGAATTTTTATTTTATGTAGTACATATTTTATAAACATAATTTGTATTTAAATTGTAATTTTTTAAACTTTAAACATATTTTGAGTTTAGATTCTTGTTATTTTTAGTACTCTATTTTATTTTTATTTTTTAATTAATTTTTATTTGGCCCACGGGCCGGTCCTATCCATATTTCTCAAGCCCCACAAATGGGTAGACTTATTCAGGTCGGGCTAAAAATTTTTTTTCTTAAAGGGGCTTCAAAAATCATAGCTCAGCCCTATCAAATCACAGGTTAGGCCAGGCCGGCCCAACGGGCCTAGCCCATATTGACGGCTCTAAAAAAGAGAAATAATTTATTTTCACTGTTCCAATTAAGATTCGTAAAAACGAAAAATAATTGGGAGAAATAGAATTTATTTTTTTTATTCTTCATTTTGTCGTACCTATTTCTTGCTTCTTCTTTAAAAATATTGTGATAACGTAGACCTAAGTTAAGGGGAAAAAATTGAACTGACAAACAATTTATAAATAACTAGCACCTAAGTATTTATAAGTATTTGGAGCTACTAATAATTGATTGTTTATAATGATAATTTCTATGATGATGAAAAATATTAGTAATAACACGATAAAATGATAGTTAATTTATTATTATCACATATTAAACTACATAGATTATATTATAAAAAATATTTTAACTGCAGGTATTTAGTAGTAAAAAACTCGCTACTAATTCTCCTCCTTTTCCTAACAAACACAAAGATAATCCTCAAAGTTGAATATTATCTTGTTTACTCGGATATTTCTTATCAAAAGCGAGGGATTCATTTTAAGCTAAATCAAATCAGAAGCTATATTTCTATTCTATCATTAATCGTTGCTATTTCTGCACCCCTATTTGGTGGTTTGAGAAAGACTCTACTAAGTGGTAACATGACGCGTAGAGTGTTAGACTCTACTTGTGACCAAAGCTATAACTTCAGACTATAAGATTCGTTGTAGTCTAGTTGGTTAGGACGCGTAGAGTCTAACACTCATCTAATGCTGAAAGGAAGTTATAAGCTTTGGATAGAAACTTTAAAAATGATGACAGTAACTCTAACTATATATCATTTTTACTTGGTATTTCACTTATCGTTCCATCTTATGTTGCACTATTTTCTGAAGTATGTTGCAATAATAATGTCACTTTTTCAAATACTTTAGCTTTAAATTAAATTTCTTGGTTTATCCTTGGTGATATATATACTTTTATAACTACAAATATCTCAAGGCATGTTTAAACTACTATACCCAAAGTCCTTATTTCCTTTTTAGGCACCTTATTATCTAAGTCAAATTAGACTATATTAAAAAAAAACTAGTCCTTATTTAATTTGTGGAGTATAAAAAAAACAGTTTGATGTACTAAGCTTTTACTATATACAAAATTCATGAAAGGATCGACTTATAGGAATCTATTGTACGAAATCTCACCGTGCATTATTATTTCCACAAGAGTCTATATAATTTGTGAAGTATGTCATATCTTAAGTCAAGAACAAATCACATGAGTAAAGCCCTATATAGTTAAAATGTTTTAGTCAATAACTATCAAATATCACAAACCAAAATTCAAACAATTAATTCTACTCAATCTTCAAATCTTGAAAAACTTGGATACAAGATCTATAACCTTGAAAAAATTATCACTATACCAAACTTAATCAACTAATTAAACACTATAAAAACCTCACTAAACAATCACTCTTATAACCTCAAAAAAAAAAAAACTATAGAAAGTGTTCAAGTTTCATTTAAATTATAGCCATGGCCACAAAAAACTCATTTTACTTTCTTATTTTCTTTCTCATCATTGCTTTAAACTTCATTAATACCTTAGCCACTTATCATAATTCTGATGATAATAATACTGCAAAATGGTTACATATTTGGCCATTTGTTCCACCATCACCACCACCACCTTCATCAATTGGTCATTTTCCTAAATTTCCATTCACAAGATCATCAATATTTCCATGGCCGCGGTTTTTGCCTCCTTATTCCCCGATTAATAAAAAAAGTCTCGATGACATAAGCATGATCAACAGTCAGAACGTGTTGAAAAAGAAATCATGTGCCTCAATCGTTGAAAAATGTATATTTTGCGTTCGTCGTAGATGTTTTTTCTCCTATGATTGTTGTGAGGTTGTTAGTGAATTTGGTCATGAGGGATGTAACAAGTTTTATGAATATGCCATGATTAAAAATAAATGTGCAATTAGCCCATTAGCTGCTCCTCCTCTTTCAACTTAAGAAAACTTAGTGAAATTATATTAAGTTATTAAGTGTGTATTTATGTGAGAATAAATTAATAAAGTGATAGACTATATAATTATCAAATTATGTACTTTGTTTTATGTCTTCATGCTATATATATAATCAATAAAGTGAAGTTCTTGTTTAATACTAGAGCATATATGTTAGAGTAACCTTGAATTTTTAATGTAACGAGTTTTTTTATTTCTAGTTTAGCTCATCATTAAACTAGAAATACAAACGGTTATCTACAACATTAGAAATAATTAGTTGTCATATTTACTATAAATAATTAATCCAAAATAATTGTTATTTTAGAAACTAAAGATAAATTTTATTAATTTGCATCTTTACTCTTACTCAACAAATGTGGAGAGAGAGAGAGAGTAGTAATAAATTGAAATAAAAAACAAATAAGGATAATTTATTCAATTTACTCTTTTTAATAGTACTCCCTATTTTTCTTTTAAGAAGATCGCAAAAGAGAAACATGACAAGTAAAATGAATTGAAGTGACTAAATGCACATGTACGCCTTCTACGACAGTGAAGACCTTGTAGCTAACATAATAATTTGATGACTTGTCGCTAAATAGGATAAAAACGGATTTCGTTGTTTAATTATAAACTTAATATTGAATTGGTATTGAACCTAAAATAAACGTTATAATAAAAGTATCGAACAAGTTTATAAGAGGACCGTTTATATTTAGTTTTTTTTTTTGTTCTTCAACAATTTTCATATTATTAATCATGTTTTTTGACACCCACACCCAATAATGACAGCCAACTATAAACATGAAAATGAAGTTACAATATTGTGAGATAATTATTGTGGAGCAATTGGTGGAATTATAAGCAAGGAAAATAATCATTATGTTCTAAGAATATTGTAAACTTCTAAATCTTTAATCATTTCACATTAACCAAAAATAAAATAGGTGAGGATCGTTTATTAACCTTTCTAAAAATAGTAAATTTGGGAAATCTGAAACTTTGAAAAAATTATAAATATTATAATATAATCATATAAAGCACTCATGGCCAATGATCGATGAATCCAGTGTATTAGCACCGGGTTTATAAGAATTTAGTTTATTAATTCATATATTATTGTATATCAACTTGATGTTCATGTAGAAATCAATAAAATTTAAGTTTTAGATTCGTGTCTAACTATGATCTAATGATTAATGAAATAGATTGAGAAGCATGAAGTCTAAGAAAAAATATTAGGTAATTTTTTCCTATCCATCCAAATCTTAATGAACGATATCATCTAATATTTATGATGATGAAAAATAGCAAGTAGCCCATAAAAATTAATTAATATATGCGTAAACTGACTCCACTATCACAATTTTTAAAAAATATATGGTTCAAATAATGAACCATAAAACTATTGAAATCTTTTCTATCTATAAAAAAAATTGTTATATTTTGCCATATTTGAGGATAGATATTCATTAACTAAAAATGGACCATAGAAATTAGAATTAATAGTGGCCAAAGTCAATGTTACATTATTATCCATATATGATATAACAATGATAGAGATTGGACGGTGCAGCCTTCGATTTTAACTTTTTTGTTATCGATTCATCCCATATTCGATATTCGATATGATATTCGAGTTCTTCACTAAACTGAATCCATTGTCTAGTAAGTCACATTAAAAAGAGAAAAAAAAACGCTACTTAAAAAAAGTTTCACTTTTAAAGTTTAAAATAGATAAAAAAATTTAATCAAGAATACTGAAATCAGATTAATCTCATTACACGAAAGTCGATTAAAAAAATATTATATTACATTATTGAGAAAAAGGTATATCTATAAAAAGAAAAAAAGAAAGATATGGAACAAAGAATTAGGAATTATTCCTTGAATTGACATCATTATGATTTATGTGGATTATTTGTATCCCTTCTTCTTGGGGAATCTCATTCCTTCTCCAATATTCTTAAAATGTAAGAGTATTTTAATTAGTCAAGATTCTTATTGAAAATATAAAAAAGATGGCTCTTTTTTCTTATTATAAATAGTGTGTATTAATCGAGGCACATACAAATAGGTATTAATTTAAAGGGATAAGGGTCTAAAAAATACCCAATTTTGGTCGGATTTGCTGTTGCGATACTAAACTTTCATGAGGAACTATTACCTTCCTAGACTATCTAATACCGTATTTTAAACATATATATTTGCCCACGTGGACATAAAAAATAATGTAAAATTATAAATAGTAATGTGTCCACGTGGGCACATATATACCTTTAAACTACATTATTAAATAGTTCAGGTGGTAAAAAATGCACTATTAAATAGTCTAAGGAGGTAATAGGTCCTCATGAAAGTTTAGTATCGCAACAACAAATTCGATCAAAATTGAGATATTTTTCAGACCCTTATCCCTAATTTAAACATAAAAAACACATATTCTTTTTCTTTTCATTCCACCACCTATAAAGTACTCTTAACACTTAAATCAACTATATGGTTCGAAATGAATATCAATAACCTATATGGGATGGATGATGCCCAAATCTTAATATAAAATTTATATCTATTTTTGTTATAATATTACTAACTAATATTGAATAAATAAAATTTCAATTTTATATCAAAAATAGTATCTAAATCTCAGTAATGAAACAAAATAAAATCATTTAGTTAGTGAACAAGTTATATGTCATTCTAATAACATGATTATAATACGAAATTAAATAATGTTAGAATTATTTAGTTGATATAATCTTATCAGTAAATAGGTAGTTCAGTGGACATCACATCTCTTGGAGTATAAAACTCTTCCACAAACCTTACTAATACAAAATGTTTTATACATCAAATTACTCCTTTTTTTTCTTTTTTTTTTTTGCCAAATAAATATTTCATCAAATTAATCAAAGATGACTTAGATATTCATATAATTCTAGAAAAAAAAAACTAATTAACTTTTATGGTCAAACAAATTCTTGAATACTATAGATTTTTTTTTATACCCCTCCTTAGGAGCTTTCACTTTTTTTTTACTTTCATGATAACTGAAACTCACAATCGATCAGAAATAAGGATGCTTATCAACCGAGCAACTATCTCTTGTCATTATAGAATTTTGTTCAAATCAGAAAAGATAGTTTATATATATATAAAAAGAAAAGAAAGTCACAATTTTTTTTGGTTTTTCATCTTGTGTTTGGTACCTATATTGGAACCGACTAAATTCAAATTCACGTCGAAAGTTCTCGTATTGGATGTAAATCGCTTCTACCAACCAAGGAGACTCGAACCCGAGAAAGAAAGTTACAATTGTTTTCCTATTAGGTATGAAATTTGTTGGCCCAATCATCAACAAACATGTGGATATATTTCTTTAATTTCCCTATCCACCATTATTACTTGAGAAAATTGAATAGAAGGTATCTCTTAAGTCTCTATTTAAATTTTGGTGACTATTTTGACCAAAAAAAGAGTCAAAACATTTAATTATTAGATTAAGTTAATTGGGACTAAATTAACATTTTCAAAACTTCTAATCTTTTTAAAAATACGAAACAGTCCAAATTTTAAAATACAAAACAATCCAAATTTCTCTCCACTTTCTTGGATTCTCCACTTTCTTTAACTTCTCTTCTTCATTGTTCTTCCTCTCTTCCGACTCAAACGTCTCTTTCTCAAATCTGCTCCGCCATCGCTCCCAATCGACTTCCGGCAACTTTTCAACTTTCGGGTCTCAACTTTTCAACTTCCGGCAATTGCTTCGATTCTAAGCATTAATTTTCTCTCTTCGCAGGTAAAACCTTTTATTTTTGAAAAAATTAGGGCTTTTTAGTTATAAAGAAAAAGATGAACTTGAGTTGTCTTCTCTTTATGTATACGTTAGCAATTTTAGAAGTTGATGCTTGAAAAAGAAGACAAATCCGAAAAAAAACCTTAATTTGTTGTTGTTGTTCTCCAACATTGTTGTGTAATAGTAATAGTTATTGTGATTTTTGAGTTTTTCGTAGACATATTTATTATTTGTATTTCTCGAACAATTGTTGATATATTGACTTCTTATTGTTGTTTGTGTTGTTGTATTGAATCAATTGGTGTTGTTGGTATTCTTGATTTTGTTGGAAAGAATGAAGAAAAGAAAACATAATCAAGATATCATAAATAATTTATTGCCTCCAAGAACAGTGCTAAAGTCAATTTTCTAGTGTTCACATGATTTTTGCTTTCGACAATTCATGCAAAGAGAATGGCTTTATTCTTCTTTACTTATAAACTCTTATATCTATGGAATAAGATCCCTTTGGCTATAATATTTTTGGAACAAAGCAACAAGTACAAGACAAAGTCTTTCTAAGATTGTTTTCTACACTTAGGCTAAGCTGAAATGATTAAATGTTTTTAATCAACCCGAACTGTTGGCTAATATACAATTTGTTGTTCTAACTTACACATAGTTATGTTACAATTGGAGGAAGATTAGAAGAGTTTGTCATGGGGCCATGAGTTTTTCAATAGTGTAAGTTAGAGATTCTGCCCAATTGGATTTGAGCAGCAATGTCTACAAGGTGTGCATAACATCATAATTAGGATCAAACTTTCTTTTACTTTTTAGTTATAAAGCAAAAGAAGAACTTGAGTTGTCTTCTCTTTATGTATACGTTAGCAATTTTAGAAGTTGATGCTTGAAAAAGAAGACAAATCCGAAAAAAATCCTGTTGCAATAGATGGGTCATTTGTTGGACAAAAACTTAATCATTTGTTGTTGTTTTACTTAGGTCCAACAAATGACTTATTTGTTGCAACAGATAGGTTATATATTGGACGAAATCTCAATCTTTTATTGTTGTTTTGCTTTCATCCAACAGATTACCTATCTGTTGCAATAGATGGGTCATCCATTGGACGAAATCTCAATAGATTGCTGCTGTTTGCTTACTTCCCATAGATGACCTATCTGCTGCAACAGATCAGTCATCTGTTGTAAGAAAACTTGATCATTTGCTACTGTTTTACTTTGTTCCAATAGATGGCCCATCTGTTAGAAATAAAATATATAGGAAAATATTACAATAAATATTTTATAAATTATAATTTATAGATTAGTTTTAATATAAACTACTTTTGTTTATAAATTGTACATTCATGGCTTGTCCCCACAGAGCAAGAGTTGCAAATGTCATTATTTTTAACTTTAGGAATTATTGTCACAAAATTAGACCCTACAGTGGATCTGATAAAAAAAGAATTGGTTGGAGTAACAACGATCAAAAGGGAAGCACCTATTGTTTCTGGTGATGCTGATGATGTTGCAATAAATGTTGATGTTAATGTTGGTGTTGATATTTGTGATGTTGGTGCTAAAAGTGGTGGTGAGCATGTTGATGATGTTGGTTGTATATATGGTGGATTTACCCCTTTCAGTGGACATACCACATCTTTTGCTCCTTCTAGCTCATGTTCTGCATGTAAATGTGAAGAATGCAAGAACAAAGATGCTCACTTAATATCTACTGGTGAAGAAGTCTCTTGATGCTCTTACTAGTGTTGTTAAGGAATTGATATCTAAGAGAGGTGTTATTCCATCAAGAAAAATTTCGGATCCATTCACACCATTGAAGATTAAATGGAGAAGAAAATAAATTTCCAAGATATTATCAAATATGAAAGAGACAACAAATTGCAACTACTCCTCTTCCTTGCAATGTTGAGTCATCTTCAGGAGCCATACAAGAGCAGCAGAAGTTGTAGAGGGTATGGGTTTGCTGAAGCCATATTTTGTAAGGTGAAGAACCTGATACTTTGTAATCGCTGATAACAATATTTTATATTTAATAGATGTCCAATTATTTTATCATGAATTCTATTTTGTAAGCTGAAGAATTTTATATGAATTGTAATTATGAACACTTATCATATTTAGTTAATCATATTTTGTAATTGTCGATGACAATATTTTGTATTATATAGATGTTCAGTTATTTGATCATGAATTTTATTTTATTCTTAGATTTGTAAAATGTTAAATTATACTATTTAAACAGATGTTGCAGCAGATTAGAATCTGTTGCAACTCATCTATTGCAACGGATAAATCATCCATTGCAACAGATGAGCATATATGTTTGATTATTTTCAATGGATGAGTCATTTATTGCAACAGATAATACATATTTGACATTTGTTGTAACAGATTTATATATTTATTGCAACATATGATCATATTTATTTGATTATTTTCAACAAATGGGTTATCTATTGTAATTGAACTTATAATTGAACTTCATTTATCACTAATTATGGGTTAAAGAAGCATTTCATATCAAAATAATCAATTGATCACTTTATTTAAGACGAATACATTTAGTTGGTCATGTAATTACTCTATAATGCATCGAAAATGTAATTGAACTTATTAAATTAAAGGTAATTATAATTAAATAAGTTTGTTTATCACTAATTATGGGTTAATGAATCATTTCATATCAAAATAATCAATTGATCACTTTATTTAAGACGAATACAGTTAACTGATCATGTAATTACTCTATAATGCATAGAAAATGTAATTGAACTTATTAATTGAAAGGTAATTTTAATTAAATAAGTTTATTTATCACTAATTATGGGTTAAGGAAGCATTTCATATCAAAATAATCAATTGATCACTTTATTTAAGACGAATACAGTTACTTGATCATGTAATTACTCTACAATACATTGAAAATGTAATTGAACTTATTAATTGAAAGGTAATT